AGATTTTTTCTTGCTTTCTTTTTTCTTTCCTGTTTTTTATTTTTCCTTTCTTTTTAGCCGTGGCTTACTCCCCATTTAAAACAAATCATTGATTCTGGTTGCAGAAAGAAAAAAGAAATAGCCAAGTGTCTCCATATCTGGATGTCTACAAATTAGAGGGAGAGACGGCGAGATCTGCTCGATAAGAGCGAGCGATCCAGGCCAGGCGCCTGGGCTTTTTTTTTCTGCACCCGCCCCGTGCCTTCGCTGGGGCTTTGCCGGCCTCCTTCCTCCGCGCACCCCCACGGGCCGCTGGCAAAGTGGGGTGGGGAGCGAGGCGGGGGGGGCGGGGGCCGGCGCGGCGGCCGAGGCGGCGGGGCGGCCGAGCATGGAAGAACAGCAGCCGGAACCTAAAAGTCAGCGCGACTCGGGCCTCGGCGCGGCGGCGGCGGTGGCGGCGGCCCCTGGCAGCCTCACCCTGAGTCTCAGCCCCGGCGCAAGCGGCAGCAGCGGCAGCGATGGAGACAGCGTGCCGGTGTCCCCGCAGCCCGCGCCCCCCTCGCCGCCCGCGGCGCCCTGCCTGCCGCCCCTGGCCCACCACCCGCATCTCCCCCCGCACCCCCCGCCCCCGCCGCCGCCGCCGCCGCCGCCGCCGCAGCAGCATCTCGCGGCGCCTGGTCACCAGCCGCAGCCCGCGGCCCAGCTGCACCGCACCACCAACTTTTTCATCGACAACATCCTGAGGCCGGACTTCGGCTGCAAAAAGGAACAGCCGCCGCCGCAGCTCCTGGTGGCTGCGGCGGCGGCCGGAGGAGGCACAGGCGGAGGCCGGGTCGAGCGTGACAGAGGCCAGACCGGCTCAGGTAGAGACCCCGTCCACCCGCTGGGTACGAGGGCGCCGGGCGCCGCCTCACTCCTGTGCACCCCGGACGGGAACTGTGGCCCACCCGACGGCTCCCCGCCAGCCACCGCCGGCGGCGCGGGCGCGTCCAAAGCTGGGAACCCGGCGGCGGCGGCAGCGGCGGCGGCAGCAGCGGCTGTGGCGGCGGCGGCGGCGGCGGCGGCGGCAGCGGCCAAGCCTTCGGACAGCGGCGGTGGCAGCGGAGGCGGCGTGGGGAGTCCTGGTGCGCAGGGTGCTAAGTACCCGGAGCACAGCAACCCGGCCATCCTGCTCATGGGCTCAGCTAACGGCGGGCCCGTAGTGAAAACTGACTCGCAGCAACCCCTCGTGTGGCCCGCCTGGGTCTACTGCACGCGCTACTCCGATCGCCCGTCCTCCGGTGAGTAACCCGGCCCCGGGCGGCGCGGTGAGCCCGGCGGACGCCGGTGGAACTCCCAGCCGCCGGGCTGGGGAGAGCGTGCGTGCCGGATCCCGAGGGTTCTTCTCTCACGCCTGCTTTCTCCTTTTCACCTTCGATTCCAGTCACTACCGAGTGTTAGACCCAGTTTTTCCTCTCCTGCGCTCTGCGACTACCGCCTGGGAGGTTACGGCTCAGGGTTCAGGGAGTGGGACCCTTCGATTTTTAACTCCGAGCCCTTCTGGCCTTCTTTGTGTTTTATTTTTAAAACACTTCTTTATTATTCTTAGTAAAGACCAAATCAGTCATTGCTTTTTCTTCCAGGGAAAGGGGTTTTTAGAATCAGCTGGAAGGTGGGCCTAGGGATCTGGGTCTGAAATCCTGCGGAGGCCGAAACTGAGCAAGGCTTTGATTAGAGAAATTATCTTCGCTTTGTGTCCTTGCAGACATAAACACCGTATCGATATTTTCTGCGGAGAGGTCATTTGCATAGAGATAGATGTAAGGAGACACAGGAAGAAAGGGAAACGTGCCTATCGCTGTCCTCCTTTCCCCAGCCGGGCAGCCAAAAGGGCCTGACCCGCCTGGTAGAATCCAGGGAAAGGCAGTTTCGGAAACAGTGGGTGCCGAGAGCCCCTGGCTCCCGATTCTCTGGAACTGACATAAACGGGGGAGAGGACAGAAGACACCTTAGGCTAAGGCCAGAGATCTGGGCCGAGGGCATGACAGCCAGCCCCCACCTCAGCTTCTCCGCGGCCCGCATAGCCCATCCTCCCAGCCCTGCCCCTTCCTTTTTTCACTCCTTCCTTCCGTACATCTGCCAGTTAGCAAATTTCTGCCAGCCATAGGCCCATTTTTCTCAGTTTTTCTTTGGTCCTTTCCCCACATACCTCTTTGAGCTTGGACAACCCCAGGCCGAGAGGTACTCAGGGGCGGCCACAAGGCCCCTGGAGAGGAGGCTGTGGCCTGCCCGCCTCCAGGGACTTCAGCTCCCAGGAGGCTGATGGGCGCCTCGAGGAGGGCGGCAGGGGTTCTGGCCTACGACTGGGGTTCCGCGCCCGGGTCTGGCAGGAGGCCGGGCTGGCGTCGCGGTGCGGCGCTCCACTCCGACTGGTCTCTGACTTCCCACCGCTGCTGGCCGGGAGTGGATCGATGAGCGCTATCAGCCCCCGCCATCTCGAGCCCCGTTATTGACACATCGGGCTCCCTGAACCTCCGAAAAGCTGCTTTGATTGACTCGCCTGATGGATAGAGTGATTGAGCTGTCAGGCTGTGCGGCTCAGGCTGGCCAGGAGGCTACGATTTTATTACAAGTGTTCATGCCTCTGCGAGGGCACCCATATATACAGTAACAACACAACTGCGACAAGGCTCTAACAACCTAAGGGATGCCCATCTCGCAATGGGGGCTTTCTGAGGTTGCACACATTTCCTGGGCCACCTCTGCTGGACCAGCTAATTACTAAGCTAAACCAAGGCCTTCCTGGCCCCTCATCCCGCCTCCCAGTGCTTTCTGCATTGGGCTCAGGAGTGGGCCTTGTCTTTGTTCTTGGCTGCTTTCCTTCTCACAAGCCTGGAGAGGCAGGGTGCTGGTTTCTAATCCTGCAGGTGCAGTTCAAGGAGAGGAACCTCAACCCAGTCTTGAGTTGTGGTGCTCGGCCAGGCCTGGACTCTTTTGTCACAGGACAGCTGGTGACCCCTGGCACTGGTCTGCCCCAGAGGCCAGCTGCCTGGTTTACCCCTCTGTCACTAGGTTTGGAGATGCCGATGCAGGCCCTTCTTTCCAGACAATTTTAGAGGTTAACAGGCCTGATAGGGACTTCACTCAGCTCAGGAAGCTCCCATAACCATGACAGGGCCCAGAAAGTAAATGCTAGAGAAGACTTGCATGTGGAGGCCTCTCTTTTTCCTCCTGTCTTCAGCGCTGGGCTTCATAGCCAGCCCTCTTCCCAGACTAGTTTTTGAGGGACACTTCACTTTCCTAGGAAGGTTTCCTGTGGCCTCTTCCTATAACCATCTTAGGGCATAGCACAGATTTTTGTCAGGATTGTCCCACCCTTTCTGTCCCTCTGCCCCTGTTTTGCTCCTGGATGTGGGGAGGGGCATGCAGTTTTCTTACAGATCACCATAGGTGGGCAGGAAAGACAGCTCTGACTTGCTTTTGTTGTTCAGTTTTCAATCCTGTGATTGCAGCTTCTGTATCCTAAGGACTAGGAAGAGAGACCTGCCTGTGCCACTGGGTGTAGGATGGGGAGGGTCCCCTCTTTCTTACTGGTACCATCTAAGGGACACAGCAGAGAACCCAGGGGCCTGGGCATGTGAGTAAGGCATACAACTGGGGGAAGGCCTCTTCTTCGCTTTCCAGGAAGCAGGTGGACAGGGTCTTCCTGGGACTCTATAAGGGGCTTCGTTTTAGGCCAGAAGGAAAGAAGAGCAGGTAGAGAGAACAGATGCTGAATGTTTTGGAGCTCGGCAAGCCTCTCAGATTGCCCTCCTTATCCCCTTGTTTTCTGGAGTCAGTAGCTACAAGCAGATGTGGTCTTATTGTAGGTGTGTGGGTGTAGATGCTTCTTGAGGAGGGGAAGAAAAATAGTTTGCAGGCTGGCAATTCCCCCAGGGCGGTCCTAGCCCAGTCTTCATGACTCCAATGTTGAGCCTCTTTTTATTCCAAGGCTGTGAAGACAGCAGGCCCCTGACCTCCAACTCTGGGTTGGGCCAGATAGGTCTCCAAATATCTTTCCATCTTGGACTCTATGATTTAAGCCTATCATGGCTGGGTCTGTTCTGAATTGGGGTGTGAGGTGTATACACAACTTCGGCCGGCCAGTTTTCCTCTGTGACCCTTTTGGCATCCCAGAGGATTCCCAGAGGGGAACCCAGCGACCCCAGTAGCCAGCAGATTGATCTAGGGGCTCGTGGGCGGGAGGGGCTGCACAGACTCTGCTCTCGCCCCAGAAGCGCAGGGAGAGATCCCCCAGCTCCGCTCCGCAATTCTCACGGCTCCCTCTGCCCTCTGCCCCCTCCCCTCTGCCCCTCGTCCCCACCTCCGCCGCTGCAGGTCCCCGCACCAGGAAGCTGAAGAAGAAGAAGAACGAGAAGGAAGACAAGCGGCCGAGGACGGCGTTCACGGCCGAGCAGCTGCAGAGACTCAAGGCGGAGTTCCAGGCGAACCGCTACATCACCGAGCAGCGGCGGCAGACGCTGGCCCAGGAGCTCAGCCTCAACGAGTCCCAGATCAAGATCTGGTTCCAGAACAAGCGCGCCAAGATCAAGAAAGCCACGGGCATCAAGAACGGCCTGGCGCTGCACCTCATGGCGCAGGGACTGTACAACCATTCAACCACCACGGTCCAGGACAAAGACGAGAGCGAGTAGCCGCCGCCGGCAGAGGCAGCGCGGTCCGGCCGCCGCGCCCGCGCCCCCTCCTGGCACCGCGGCCGCCGCCGCGTGGGCCCCACGCCCCGGGGAGAAAGAATCAGCGTAGAGGAGGAAGAAAGCAACAGGGAGAAGAGAGAGAAAGAGGCTCCCAGGATGGAGAGTCACATTGCAACGAGACATTTCTTTTTTTCAAAAGGGAGAAAGACTCAGACAGGTGCTATCGAAAAATAAGATCAGTTCTCTCTTCACAGTATAAGGGACGAAAACTACGAACTCCTTAAAGCTCTATCTAGCCAAACCGCTTACGACCTTGTATATATTTAATTTCAGGTAAGGAAAAGAATTATGTGTAGCGATCTCTATTTGCTGGACTTTTTATTAATCTCCTTTATTATTATTGTTATAATTATTATAATTATTATAATTATTTTATCCCCCGCCTCCGCCTCGCTGCCCCCGGCCCAGTTTCGTTTTCTTTTGAATGTTATTGCTTCTCCGGTGCCTCCCGTCCCGCATCGCTGGCCCTCCGTTTCTCTGGGACTTTTCTTTGTGTGCGTGAGAGTGTGTTTCCTCGCGTGTCTGCCCTTCGCCTCTCCCCCTCCCCCCATCTCCCCGGCCCCTTCTGTCCGTCTGTCTGTCCTGCCCCCCGACCCTTTCGTTTTCCGGAGACTTGTTGAGAAATACGACCCCACAGACTGCGAGACTGAACCGCCGCTACAAGCCAAAGATTTTATTATGTTCAGAAACCTGTAGTCTGAAATAAAGTGTACACTGTGCTCACGAGCGCCTGACGGCCCTCCTCTTTGCGGGCTGGGGAAGGGCGAAGACGCGGGGCGGCCCTGCGCAAGGCGGGCGCACACAGGGCGCCGAGCCCGGAGGCTCAGCCGGGCCTTAGGATCCATCACCGCACAACGAATGCCGGGGTCAAGGAGCGCGCGGTGCTAGGGGTGGCTCGGACCAGGGGATGGCCCGGGTTTGGAGGGTCTGGAGGACACGCCTGGTCCCTGATCGCATTCAAGGGAGACCAAAGGCTGGAAACCCCAGTCCTGACTTGGGAAACACTGCGGAGCTGCTGGTCTGCTTCCCGCGGAGCCAGGACCAGCCGGGCTGCAGCATACTCTGGTTCAACCTGCTCCTTGCTCCAGCTTGCTTTTTTTCTTTTTCTGTCTTTTTTTTTTTTTTCTGATGCCAGTCTTGCTGGAGGTTTTCTCCTTTAGAAGCAGAAGGACTTCCCAGGGCATGGCAGAGGTGAGGGGCTGCCCGGAATCCGAGGCAAGGGCCACCTCGGCCTGCCTGGACTTCACTGCTCTTCCAAAGGAGAAGTGATTCGGTTGTCTAGGGGGCTGGTCGAGGGCGGCACCTGAGCTTGGCAGGATTCATGATGGCAAAGTCTGGAGTGGAGGCCCGGATGAGGAGAAGCTCTGTGGAGCCGCAGCCCCTCGGTCAGCTACTGGGATTGCTCTGGGGCCAAGATCTCGGCCATGCACACAGGCCTGCCTTGACCCTGCCCAAAGCCTAATAAGCAAGGTTCTTTTCACAATCCCAACAAAGCCTGGCTTGCTTTCTGACAGAAGATGGGGCACAAACACCAGCCCCCTGGGCCCCCAGAACCCCCAGATTTCCAAGAGGAAAATGTGTGGACACTTGCCCCAGACACCCTGGGGCCTATCCTTCCTGGGTAGCCACTGGGCCCCACTATTCAGGGACTAGGAAGAGAAAGGGGAGGTCCCTTCTAATCTTCCTTTGGTCCAGGATTTTTTTTTAATGGTAAATTCTGTTCTCCACGTTTTTCCTTCTCTTCTGTAGTACGGATGTATGCAGCTATACTCATATGACCAGATATTCAGGTGTCCCAAAAAACTCGGGTGCATATGTGATCATGTGTAGATGGATACTGGCACATCTGGGTGCCCACTGGGCTTTGTGTATTTCTGCATATGTGAACATTATGTGATTGGATGTTCATGTCTCTGTAATTAGATGCACACTTGGATATTTCTGAGTTCACAGTGTGTGCACATGTGCTTATTTGTGTTTGCAGGTGTGTTTGTGTGTGTAGGGGAACCCCGCTTCTGTGCTCTTTCCTTGGGTTTCTTTCCTGTTGTTTTTGCAGGATTGATTATTGTGAGAGTGGGAATGACCCATCAGTCTGCCTTTCTTGAAAAATCCGCCTTGGTTTGGGCCTGTGCTGGATGTGAAATGACAGTGCCAGGTGTCAGGGCTTGGAAGCCAAGGGGGTGTTGAAGTCCCTGTTGAAGGGCTTGGGGGGTTGGGGTTCAGGGGCCTGGAGTTGCAGAGCACATTTGACATTGCCAGGGGTTCCCAGCTTTATTGCATTCCTTTCACATCTTTTTGGGGTGTGTGGAGTAACCTCTACACATAATAGATGCTCTCCCAATCCTTGAGTGAAGACTTGACAGCAGTGAGGTGGGCCCTTCCCTGGGGCCAGTTGTTTTCTGGTAACTGGAAGTATATCCTTTGCTTTTCTTGGGGTGGGGATGCAGGGGAGGAGCCTGGAATCTTCAAGCTCTGCAGGGCTTTGGGTTAGGGGGCTGAGACCTGAGGCTGAGGGTACCCCTTCCGGAATCTGGCCACAGGCAGATAGGATGTTGGGGTGCTCAGTTCTACAGAGAATCTTTCTGTTCCAAATGCATGGAAACTGGGCTACTCCTCCTTCTCCCTTCCTTAGTGTGGCCTCTTAGGGTACCTGTGCCCCTCAAGATCACAGATGCAGAGTCAGGGGCCAACTTGAGTAGTAACTCCAAGAAGTATCCTGTTCTTACAGGCTCCTTTTTATCTGTACCCGGAGATCAAAGCCAAGCCCTCTGGGGGAGAGAGAGGTGGTCACCTCTCTCCAGGATTATATTGGTAAATTGCATGGATGTGTCATTATTATGTAATTTAATTTCTGGCCCCTTATCTCCTTTTATCTTCCAATCACTATAGGTAAATAGAATTTTCTTCTTTACTCAGAGGAGGAAACTAAAGCTTGGAGAACTTAAGCATTTGGTCCATGGCTCCTCTGTCCCCCTGTGTCTTCCTCTTTGTCACATCTACTCATTACAACTGCCTTTATCTCTGAAATCTGGCTGAGGTCCTCAAGTAATGGTCCAGAATGACTCTCCTGTCTTCTCTCTTTATTCCCCATCCCCATTTTCCTTCCTCCTGATTGGGGCAGAGACTAGGGAAGGAGGACTCCAGTCAGACTTCTTTCATGCACCCCCTCTAAAAAAAGAAAGTAATAATAATCATAAACAGGCATTGATTTCTCTGATTTATGGGTCTGGCTTAGCCAGCTGCCTGTATTAAAGTCTGGGGCTGCATCGAAATAAATATTAGAGTGTGCTATCCCAACTTCCTTATATTCTACCTATTTTTTTTTTAAGATTGGATTGAACCATAAACTTAAATCTTCCTCAGCCCAGGAGGAAATACACACTAGCCAAGTCTAAACAGTATTGATCCTTGGCTCTTTCTGAGGGCAAAGGTCTCTGTTTTCTTGCCAGAAACTCCCATTCCTTCAGTAGGGTCAGGAGGAGGAGGTGTGGATGGGGGTGGACTACAGAAGGGGTATTTGGGTGTATGGCGGTGCATTGTAGGTCTGTGTTAGCTTGTATGTTTGTGGGTTGTATTGCGTGTGGGCATTTGTATAGAGGTGCTATTGATTGATAAATAAATATATTTATTTAGGCTTGGGAGGCATAAGTATGTGTTTTGAGTGTACGGGCACCAATAGCAATTGCTGTGTGTGTGTGTGTGTGTGTGTGTGTGTGTGTGTCCAGGCTGCTGAAGGCACAGAGAAAGAGTCTCTACTAACCTGCCCCCTACCTGGCCCCCACACCTGTCACCTGTGACAGGGCTTCCAGATGCCCCAATGCCCTCAGTGAAAAAGCCTAACTGCAGGGATAGGGGTGATCTTGGTTGACACCAAGAAGCTGAGGCCAAGGCCAGGGTCAGGGAGACTGGCCTCCCCAAACTCCTTGCCCCATGAAGGTGTCTGCTGTGGCTTTTCTGGGGGTCGCCATCTGTTTCTCCAAAGGTCAGCCTTGCTTTTCCTCTTCATGAAAGCCATTCCTCTGGCAATATAGGCAAACTTCATTCCCCATCTTCCAACAGGCATAGGCTGGGAAGGGGGTGGGGAGCCTGAAGACCCCCTCCTCGCTTTGCCTCACAGCCTGGGGCCCATTTAATCTCTATGTCACTATGGCTTAAATTGGAAATCATGTTCACTCTGTCTGGAGGGAGGTGGTCAAGCACCGCTCCATCCCGCATCACCCCCACCTGAGACCTCTTCTCGCTCACTCTGAACCCAGGTGAAAGGATTGTGGCAACTTGTGGAAAGGGGCAAGACTGGGGACTCCAGCAGCCCCCACTCCTCCCCAAATGATTTAGACTAGTCATTAATTGTTGGAGGGGATCCACAGGGATTCTGGAATAAAAAAAACTGGGGATGGGGGATGGGAGGGAAAGTGCCTGGTAGGGTGTGAGAGCATCCTGGAAGTGAGAGGCAAAGTCTTCAGATTTCCTCTAAGTCCAGTAAGGGCCTCAAGAGTGTCACTGAGTGGGTGGTACCCATGCACACACAGACATACAGCACATGTGCACACACTTCTGCACATCCAAATGCACAAAAAATGTACTCACATATATAATACGTGTACCCCTATGTAAAGTATGTGCACATATACAAACAAGTATCTAGATATCTAGAACTGTCATGCAGAGATGGGTTCTGAGCAAGCACATGGCCATGGTCCATGTAGAAATTTCTGGCACATTTTTTTACATGACCCAGGAGTACACCTGCTGGTGTCCACTACACACCTGCGTGCCCCAGCTCGTGGGCTTCGCTCCTATCCAGTGTAGGCACAGGGCATTGTTTCCAGGGCTGGGGACACACCAGACTGCCCATTGCTTTTCATGGAGGCCACCAGGGAGAACTGGGACTGAGGTGAGTGGGTTGACTGTGTGGGGGTGGAAATACTGGAGTCAAGGCAGCTCCTTCTCTCTCCCCAGAGACTCTGGGCTCAGAAACAAATATGCTGCTGCTACCCCTGTCTCCATCCCTCCCTCCCACCTACCCTTCACCTTCCCAGGGATACATCCTGGGGTTGAAGCAGATCCAGGGAAGGTGAGGGCAGACTTCTGAAACTGATTTCTCAGGGAGTTGGGTAAGTCTTGGGCTATTATAATTTGCTCTTTGAGTTTGCTTCTAAATACAGCCTTTTCCAGAGATGCCATTCTGGAGATGGAGCAGGCCCCTCCACTCTGGAATTCTTCCCAAAGATATGGGGTAGGTTGCTGTGAGCACATTTGGGAAGATTTCAGGTTGCAATAATGGATTACAGAAAAGCAGAGATCGGAGCACTGTGCATGCGGCAAACACACCCAGCTTATCCTGAGGAGAGGATTGGATCCATGCTCCAGACTCGCTTTTCGGATGTGGGAATGGGGTGAGGGGTGGAGGTGAGAGGATGCAGGAGGAGCCCTGTGCTGGGGGAAGCTGTGAGCACAAGCCTCCCCACTCCTCAACTCTACTAGGGGATGGGGTATACAGGCTAGCAACCTCTCAGGGACTAGCAGCTACCAGAAGATTCCTCCCAGACCCAGCTGCCACACAAGCACAAGTGCAGGGGTGGTGAGAAACACGATCCTGGGTGCACTCCGTACCCCACTGTTTCCCTCCCTCCCCCACCCAGGGGGCGAAGACCTGGACTCCTGGCACCCCAGGAACAGCAATTACATCGCAGAGG